ATAATGTTTAGTATAGATGTGGAGTGTAAGTGTAATTTTAATGTAAAAAAATTATCAAAATGCAAAAGAAAATGTTAATTAGGCCACCATTTTTAAATTCGATCAGAATTGTGAATAAAATGGAATTTCCACTAATTTTCCTTTACTGGTTATTGCATCTCTTAAACCTACTAGGTTAGATTAATAAAGCCCGAATCGAAGCTAAACAGCTAGCAGTTAATAAAGTTAAAGTTTTCCAAAGTAGCATGCATGCGTTTCTCCATCAATTTTTCTTTACTGGTTATTGCATCTCTTACACATAATTAGGTTTAAGAGCCCGAGTCGAAGTTAAACAGCAATTAATAAAGTTAATGTTTTCCAAAGTGGAAGACTCGAAAAGACGCCATGCATGCGTTTATCGGAGTTGACCGAATGTTTAAGCCAATCACAAATTATCATTTATTTTCTTCTAACCAGATTAAAGATTCCAAACCGTATTCATTTCGGTTTAAATCGGATTAAGTTTATAATTCTATTCGGTCAAAGCGTAAACCAGAATTCCAACATTTTTAACGACACGACAAAGCCACCGAACATAGAATGGGCTTTACTCTCTACTCTGCATCAGCGAAATTTGGGCCAAGTAAAATCGTAAACGTGGAGACTAATCCAGTGTGGCGACAGAAGCGTGCACCTGCAACTGAGACCACATGATAACCGTTAGATCACGCGGCAACAAGCAATCACAGTTAACGAGAATGTTGTCGGTCCTAAAGTCTCGTGGAGTCGTTCTTGTGCCACTTGGCTTATTTGCAGTCGGACGCACACTATGCCGTATTTTTTGGTCATTAGCAAGTAGTACCACGATCCATTAACTATCTAATTATCATACTTAAACTAAAATTTACTACCAAAAAAATATTAAAATTACAAAAATCGAGCAACTGCATAATTTAGTTGCTGGGATAATATGAAGGTACTAATGATTTGATTTAAAGTTTAAACCCACATAATTTTCCTAATTATTGACATTTCTTTTAAGAGAAAACACGACAAGTATTCATTAACTTTTCACAAACACTAATGATTAAAACGAAATCGTTATCTTCGAGAGAAACCGCTATTCCCCCAGAACCCAAGTTTCATCTTTAAAATCAAAATCTCTCCCTCTCTTTTACACTTCTGTTTTATACTCAAAGCCGTAATTTACCATTTTGTTAAATTCTTCAGTTTCTTCTCCATGTTCTGCATTTGAACCAAGAAGATGGATTCCTCTAATAAGGTCTTGTTTCCAGACCAGATTTTGTGTACCAGAAGAAGAAACATCTTGACCAGATTTGGTCTAGGAATCGCTGCTTCTTTCCTTCTCCTCACACTTCTCTCCCTCACTAATCCCTCTTTCAGTGTCCCCTTCGTCTCTCCTCTGCTTCAAAGCTTCAAAAGCTCCAATCTAAACACTTCTTCTTCTTCTTTCAAGCAAGTCTACGAGAACCCACAAGTGGTAAATCTCACCGACCAAGTCCCAAATGTCAAAGTTCCAAGCTTTGATGCCGAACAAAGATCTGGAGAAACAGATATAGATGCTGCTTCGATGTCTAGAGATGGTAAAGTTTCAAGCTTTGATTCCGGACAAAGATCTGGGGAAACAGTGAGTTCGGTCCAAGACGGTGGTAAAGTCTCCGTCTCAAATGACGAAAACACCCTCGAAGTAAATGCTACAGTAACTGTGGGGAATAGCTCGAGCTTGGTGTCTGATTTGGGTGGTAGATATGTGCCTGCGAACTCAAGCGAAGAGAATGGCTCTGTTGTAACAGAACGAAGCAGAGGTTCGTACGAGGATTGTGATATCTACGATGGGAATTGGGTGAGAGCTGATGATAAGACAATGCCGTATTATCCATCTGGTTCTTGTCCGTATATAGACAGAGATTTCAACTGTCACGCTAATCGAAGACCTGATGATGCTTATGCTAAATGGAAATGGCAGCCAAATGGGTGTGACATTCCCAGGTAATTTAACAAGAGAAAGAAAAAAGGTTTCCAATTTTGTTCTTTTGTTAGATAGATTCTGTTTGGGTTTTAGCTTTGGTTCTTGATGTTCTTGTTGAGATTAGGTTTTTGAGTTGTTAATAGTACTGAATTGGGGTTTTGAGTTTTGAAATTAAATTGTTGGCTTTTGTCTGATGAGTAGTACAATGTGATGTTTGTCTTGGAATATAAAGCTTGAATGGAACTGATTTTCTGGAGAAGCTAAGAGGGAAGAAGCTGGTTTTTGTTGGGGATTCGATAAATCGGAACATGTGGGAATCTCTTGTTTGCATTCTTCGAAATAGTCTCAAGGACAAGAAACGAGTGTATGAGATCTCGGGGAGAAGAGAGTTCAAGAAGAAAGGGTTTTACGCTTTCAGATTCGAGGTGAGATATCGATTTTTTTTTTTTGAGTAATGCGTGCTACCATTCAATAAAACCGCAACAATGTCTTGTTCTCCTGATGGTTTTCAATCTTTTCCCCTTCTTGCAGGACTATAATTGCACAGTGGATTTCGTTGGCTCGCCCTTTTTTGTAAGGGAATCAAGTTTCAAAGGCGTGAATGGGACGACATTGGAGACTTTGAGGTTGGATTTGATGGACAAGACGACATCTATGTATCAAGATGCTGATATACTGATTTTCAACACTGGTCATTGGTGGACTCACGACAAAACAAAGCTAGGGTATGAGTCTGAAACAGAGAACCTGAACAAGAAGACCTTCTCGTGTTTTAATTAACAATGAATTTTTATGTTCTTTCGCAGAGAAAACTATTACCAAGAAGGTAACGTTGTGTACCCGAGGCTCAAGGTTCTTGAAGCTTATAAACGAGCTCTCATTACTTGGGCGAAATGGGTCGATAAGAACATTGACCGCAATCATACCCATGTCATATTTAGAGGGTATTCCGTTACACATTTCAGGTAATTTTCCGATAGTCTCCATTTGGTTTCCAAGATGAATTTGTCGAAAAATTTATATTCCTTGACAATATTGAACCGTGTTTCTAATACAGAGGAGGGCCATGGAACTCAGGAGGACAATGCCATAAAGAAACAGAACCGATCTTCAACACGAGATACTTAGCAAAGTATCCTTCGAAGATGAAAGCTCTAGAGTACATTCTCCGTGATACAATGAAAACACCAGTAATATACATGAACATAAGCCGACTAACAGATTTCAGGAAAGACGGTCACCCGTCAATTTATAGGACTGTGTATAGGACGGATAAGGAGAAAAGAGAGGCTGTGAGCCACCAAGATTGTAGCCATTGGTGCTTGCCGGGTGTACCAGACACATGGAACCAGCTTTTGTATGTCTCACTCTTGAAGGCCGGGCTAGCATCTAAGTGGTAGGCTAAGTCCTTTGGCTTTGTATTTGTTGTTTGTATTGTTTGCGGCTGTAAAGTAGATATATGAAGTAAGAACCAAATCTCCTATATAGAAAAGTAAGTAGGGTTTGATTTTTCCTACTGCTTCACCAAAAAAAATCACATTTCTCTACTGGTTGCTACGAAGTATGTATAGGCATTGCACTACACATGAACTTATGGAATTTGTTGCCATTGTCTCATTGCTTGGTAAAGTTTGAATTATCTTAAAAACTCCATTAGTTTAAAAAGGAATGTTTTCATTGTACTAAATCTAGAGATGATAGTGATGATGTAGAGGTTGGACCCAGAAATTATTTTTATTGTGTTACTGAACTATTAAAACTTGATTAATCACTTTTAATGAAACACAACAAAAAGAAAAAAATAACAGAGGAA